ACTGGAAGCGAGAGGAACAAAGAACCAAAAACACATAACTTAAGGACATTGAGGAAAAAAACCAACTGAAATATTAACCTGAAAGGAATCTGACCTTTCCGTTTAATCTAAACAAATTAACATATCATGATGTCGTTTCCAAATTGCCCTAGTTTTTTTCATCACTGGTGCAAGGCATACATCTAGAACACTTAGCCCACTGGCCACTAGCAAGGACATTATTATTCTCAGCTTTTTATCTCTCCTTAATTACCCATAGAGTTCTAAGACGATATATTTAATAGATCATAGCAATAATTGATCATTATATTGTTAGGGATTGAAAGCATCCAAACCAGGGAGAAATTGTTATCTACCATCATGATTTGAGTGCTAGTCTTCATCAAAACTTCCAATATAATATTCTAAAAAATAGAGCTGAACCATATCTAAACTTAGGCAATGCCAAATGTAAGGGACATCCAGATATACTATCTATGTAATCACAGAACATATTAATGCACGAAAAAGGGTGCAACACACACAAGGGCTACAAGAGGAAATTGACTATGGCAAGGTCCATCACAGAGGAGGGCGTATGTCACGACCATACAATGCTCAAAATACTTCAACAATTTCTCCGAAAAGTATTAAGTAAACAACACAAAAAAAAAAATCAGAAGCTCCACCATCAATTCATAGCCTAACTAGTGGCTATAGCACCGGTAGCTATGTAAGATTGTATACAAACTGTATGGAGAGAAAAAATTCGAGAAGATTCGTGTACACTCATTCAAACTGTGTCGGTGAGATCAAGTATAAAAGTAGCCGCTTGAGAGCACAATCACTCACCTGAACTGTCTTGTCTATCAGGGATTTCCTCTGCTGTGCATTGGAAACATGACAAACCAAGCCCAAAGCCTCTACACCCTGTGCCCTGAGCTTTTCAACGGCCTCATCCACATTTTTCTGATAACCAATTCAACCGATCACTTCCAGTCCACCGAACAAGTAATCAACACGAAAAACCTATAGATGACTTCCGAGTTGTTTCGAGATAAGAAAAGTGGCAGTAAAAGGGTATAGTGCGAAAAAGTCGTTCCATTCAGTTCAGTGCCTTCAAATAGATATAAAACTCAAATTTTTCAGACACCCGCTATAGAATAAACTTTAAGCTTACTGTACCGAGGACCGAATTCCATCAATAAGATACTCGTCATTGAACCGAACCTGACGCGATGATCTACAAAACCGTAATTTACTACGGCACTGAGAAAGTTACCAGCTAAATAGCAACGCATATTGGAAATCATCATCACCCGGCTCCTTTTCCTTGGAAAAAAACTCAAATCTAGCAGATTTTAAGCACATTTGCTAAAAAAAAGCTAACGAAAAAGTCAGCTCAGCTCAGTTCCACACAGGCGCGGATCACTATAATCAGCTCAGCTCAGCTCACTCAGGCGCACCACTATCCTCCGACATCTTAGACAAACCAAATCCGCCATCATAGGAATCGTCGCAATTCAAACTCGCACACCACGTATTCATCACAACTACCTCGAGAGAAGCAAAACGGTTGTACCACTATCCTCAGACATCACAGACAAACCAAATCCGCCAAGACCCATCACGGGAATCGTCGCAATTCACAAACTCGCGCACCACGTATCCATCGCAAACTACGTCGAGAGAAGCGAACCGGTTGCACCACTCTCCTCAGACATCATAGACAAACCAAATCCGCCAAGACCCATCACGGGAATCGTCGCAATTCACGAGCTCGCGCACCGCGCATCCATCGAAAACTAACTCTGAGAGAAGCGACCCGGTTGCACCACTGTCCTCAGACATCACGGACAAACCAAATCCGCCAAGACCCATCACGGGAATCGTCGCAATTCACGAGCTCGCGCACCGCGCATCCATCGCGAACCACCCTCGGGAGAAGCGAGAAACGGTCAAGGCACACGATAGGAAGAATGGGGAAAATAAGGAAAACCTGCTTGCGAGAGGAGATGACGACGGAGGCGCCCTCGAGGCCGAGGCGCTCGGCGATGGCGAAGCCGATGCCCTGGGTGGAGGCGGTGACGATGGCCACCTTGCCGTGGAACCTCCGCCCGATGCTCGAGCCGCTCTTCGCCATCTCCGCCGCAGACAGCGAGCGCGCGAGAGAGAGAGAGAGAGAGACCTTCGCTCGTATCGTATCGATCGGTCGGAGGAGCTGCGGGCCAGGAAGGCGGAGGATGGTGGCGTGTAATGAATGCGTCCGGGACGGTTGGACGTCCTTACTACTGTAGAGACTGCAAAAACGGATCAAATGGAAATGCCAGAAAAAAAAAATTAATACCACGGAAAATTCCAAACCAGTATGCTTGTCACAAATTTATCCCAAATTAATTTTTTTATCACAAAAAATTTCAAATCGATATATTTGTGACAAATTTAATGTTAAATTGAATTAATATCATGAAAAATCACAAACTGGTATATCTGTGACAAACGAAAGGTAAAACCCAAAATTAGTACGTTCGTCAAGCTGTCATGTGTCATCCGACTTAAAAATTTAACGATAAAATTTATCAGAAACTAACGGAGGGTAAAATTATCACAGGTGTACCAGTTTGGAATTTTTGGTGGTCAAAAAATTAATTTAGGGTAAATTTGTCACACGTGTACTAGTTTTGGGTTTTTCATGGTATTAATCCAAAATTTTTTTTTATTGAATCTTGGGGAAAAAGGATCCCGGAATTGCCATAATTTTCATACGGAGTTTATTCGAGCATTTTCAATGAATCACTTGAGCAACATAACTTTCGTACTGCGCTAAATTAGATGACTTCGGTAGCATAGATCTTAGAAAACGTTCACCACAAGTACAGAAAACCCGACATGATATTTTTTTTTTAAAATTATGGTACTCGAACCGGCCAATTGAAAAGTACGACGCTCAAGTGAAATGGTCGTGGTTCTTAAATAATCGGTTGAAAAGTTACGGCACTGAAATAAACGGCACTTGCGAGTGTCCTAATTTCTCAAACATCTATGAAAAAAGTCCTTCAATTTTGTTCACATCTCGCACTGCTTTAGACGTAACATCTATCAATTCGATCGATTTCTCGATTGAATATTCGGTTCGTATTTGATTCGACCTATAGTCCCGACAAGAGGAAAAAGTTTATGATGCGACAAATGTGATGCGCCGGCCTTTATGAAATTGAAGATTTCGATTCTAGTACGGACCGGGGGGGTATTGAAGGGCATATGCTCTAGGCCTAAGCTATAGTCGATTTCTCCAAGATTAGACTTTCAATGTCATAGAGTAGATGCCCCGCACAAGCATTGAATTCTAATTGCTAACCACATAAGCAAAAAAAAAATTTAACAAAATGGTTTTAAACATATTTTACGGATGCCAATTTGATCATAAATCTTTTAATTTGGCCAATTTAGTAGTAAATCTTTTGGCGATTTGCCAATATAGTCCATCAGGCCAAAATCGCTGACGTGGACAATAGCAATCCTACGTGGTGGGATCAGCGCTGACGTGGACAATTTTTAATAATTTGTATGATTTTTTTTTTTCACTTTTTTCTCTTTTCTTTCGTTTTTTTTTTCCTCCTTCCTCCACTGGTCGCCATGACCGGCGATCGACCACAGGCAATAGTTGGGTTGACGAGGCCAGCCTAGGGCGAGGCTCAACCTTCAAGCCTCGCGAGAGGCCGACGAGGTCGACCCTCACGTGGCCGGTCGCCGACCATGGCGCCCGGCGGAGGAAGGAGGAGAAAACAAAAGGCAAAACGAAAGAAAAGAAAAAATAAATAAAAATTCATTATACTATAAAAAAAAAAAACTGTCCACTTGCTGGCTATACCACGTAAGACTGCTGGCGTCCACGTCAACGATCGCTAATTAGAATTGACCGAAAGGATTACATTAGCAAATTATCAAAAGGTCTATAACTAAATTGGCTAAATTAAAAAGTTTAAGATTGAATTGACCTCGGTACAATAGGTTCCGAACTTTTTCCGTTAATTTTCTCCTATAAGCATGGGTAGCGGTTCAGCTACGGCCGGTGACGACCGCTTAGGTAGATAGAGTAGTGACATTGGAAAGTCGCAACTCGGCAAGAGTTCCGGGCCCTCTCACCGTCCGAACCCGAACGCGGCAGCATCCGTCATCCTCCTCCTCCTGCGGCGGCCACCCATGGTCAGGGGGATATTCTTCCTCTAGCAGAAAGTATGTACAAATGATAGTAATAGGCCTTGCCACCAGGCTCATTGCATTGGTCAGAGTGGAGGGCAAGCTCCTCGACTTTCGGGCGGCCACATTCGCGTTGGCGGTTTTGTGCCGCCGAGGGCATGTTCGCCGGAGTCGGCGCAAGTAAACGATATAAACAGTCACTTTCCTCTTCGCTTTCTGGGTTACTTTCTCTCCTCACCGTGCACTCCATATTATCACGGTAAGTTAGCTCTCGTGTCCGGATTAAGTCCGCCTCTCTAGTCCGACGACAATCAAGCTATTCATCGATGCATGCGATGTTCAAGAGAATCATCACTTTCTTTCGATTCGGGCCCCTGAACTGTACCGGATTTTAATCGAACAAGAAGCTTCATGTTGTCGAGGTGCAAAAGTCGTCGCCGTGCTAACTCGACTAACCCTTATGGTTTGTATTCGACCGGTTTTCGCTGTCTATCGACGGTCACGTTTCGCACTTCATGCGTCACAATTCTTGTCAAGGTCGAGAGTATTGAGCACGAAAGAGCTGGACGAGTAAAAGTACAACTGGGAAATTCATCCTCGCAATGTTTACATTGATATGACATGATTCTAGTCTTCTCCTGCTGAAGGACATGATAAGGAAGAATGCGCCTAAGGTTTCCAACCAGTTCGATCTTAATTATCGGTCCATCTACGGTTTCCTTTCGTGCCGGCACTAAGATCGCGGCTCAATCAGCGGGATCTCGCGAATCACTGTTTCCCGTTCGAAAACACACAGCAGTACGTCTGCAGAAGATCGAGCGGACCGATGTCAAGAACTAGAATGGCACAAATATTGATACCTCGAGGGCGTAATTGATCAAGTACCAACAGAGTACTATCAACTTAGATTTCTGCAACAAGTTTGGAATTGGTTGCAGAAAGAGCCTTTACCTGCTTATAATACTAATTCAAGAAATGCTACCTTGAATAGGTAAGAAAGGACTCGCTCCTTGGTTGGACTGTCTGAGTAATTGATCGGAATCGAGAGCACGGGTTGCGAGTTGATAGAGGCGTTCTCTTTTTCTTCCTTTATGCGGTTGAACCTCTCGGTGTAGCCTTCTCCTGATTTCGGATCAGTCTCGTCCCAGTCGCCGAACACCGGTACGGGTGTTGCTCCGAGATGCTGCCACTTGAAAGAAAGGTAACACTCAATAAGCATCATTTCGTCTCTCAGCAATATAGTTTCATGTAAGGCAAATGCAGAAAGGAAAAGAATTGAAGTGAGAAATCTATGTCATGTCATAATCGATCTTGGAAATGTTTTCTCCAAAAATTTTTGGGCTGACGCAACGCAAACGGGGCGGTACTTACGGAGTCATCCACTGGTCGACCTCTTTTCCCCTGTCCCGAGGGCCTCGAGCTTCTTTGAACTGATGGCGAGAAGCCTTTTTTAGCGCTGAAGCTCTTTTTCTTTAGTTCATTGGAAAAGCTCCTCCTGTGAGAATCGGCACTGCGGGCCCCCTGTTGTTTCCCGGGCAAACTCGATTTGGTCGAACTCGAACGGAAGAAACTACAAGTCCCTCCTGTCCTACGCGAAAAGGCACCTGGATTCACCTCAGGGTCTTTTGATATCATCTTTGTGCTGGTTTTGTCTAGGCGTGCGCTCCCAGAACATGCTGCGTGTGGAATCCTAACATTGCCCAAGTTGCCGTGTCTGGGAGCACTCGAGCGTTTCTGTGGCCAGTTCGTTTCCAAGGTTGATTGCATGCAACTTGAGAGCATGAATTGAAGCACAAAGCATGCGTATACAAGAAACAAGTCTGTCTAACATTCCAATGTATTTCAAGAGATCTTTTCTAGATACAGTGACAGCGCGAATCGTGCAAGGACAAGACCAGGACATCCCTTCACGAGAACGTGATACTATACGTGCAGCATATAATTGATCCCTGAGTTCATATCTGGGTCCTAGATGTTAAGGAAATAATGCTGTGCTGAAAACCAGTATCAGTTTTCTTCTGATGATGCACTGAATTTCGGAGGTGATGTCGATCAATCAACTTATAAGTCATGAAGCTTCTTCCTGTTCACACCGAGACACGATCAAATCTCCATTAGTTTGCCCCTTTGCCTATAGAAACGATGATCCGGACCGTTCTTAAAATTAGGAGGCAATGTACAGTCAAGCCAGAGAGTGATCAATCGAACTTCCAGCAAACAATGCAATTCACAGTTAAAAAGAATCAGCTTATTAGGAATTTCCTCACGTAGATTGAAGTTAATCAGCCCTTCAATCTTTCCTGAATTATATTCTTGATGATTTCACTGGAAGAATGTATATTTCATCATCAAGACTTTTCACGTAGCTAACCATATTAGAGATCATAAACTTCGAAACTTGCATTCCCTACAGATTCCATTCCATCCATGTTCTGATTGCTTTTTAAGGCAGACGCTTATCGATACACTGAAAGAATACTTTGTTATTTGCTATAGAGATAGCTTCTGAATTATAAAGGTACTTACAGGATGATCACATGGATTGCTTGCATCCCTTTCTCTTGGGTACCTCACGCCTCTTTGCATCGATGAAGACAAGCCATAAGCATAACCTGCTTTTGGTTGATCGGAATGGCTTCTTCTATGAGCGCCGGCACTTACTTGGCTGCCTTGTCTTTTCGTGGATGAAACTGCTTGGACTGAATTGAAAATCTTTTCCACGTCGCGATCGGGTCCAGGCATGAAGGCCTCTGGATTCTCCTCGGGGTCATTAGGATTTATCCCAACTCCGGCTTTCTCTTGGCGTGCATTATCAAAGTAGGCCGTGTATCGAACATCGTCCTCGCCCCTGTCCCAGCTGCCGAATTTTGGGACGTGGGAGCGATGCTGAGGCCGATACGGAGATGGTTATTCAACAAAAGGAATGTGCACAATAACATTAGTCTAATAGAAGAAGAGCGAGCAACTACAAATCATAGTTGTCTAGTTGCGCAAACCTGGCATTTCCTTGTCACAGCAGGGTAAAAAATGCCTGCAATCCTACCCGCCAATCACAAATAAACCATTCTGGCGTCGTGAACCCGTCATATGGAAAAATTTCGACCTTGAAATTGATCTCAAACACATATGTCGGATTTGGAATGTTTTGTTGACCTTTGTAAGAGGTTTCCCGTGATAAACTACTGTACTTCATAATAGACCCAAATCAAAAGTTTCGACTGTTAGATGTCGCGTTATGTTCTCGGCTCGTTCATCCATGGCTCTGTTTAGGAATTCTAGGACATGCTCCATATTCTGGGGTTCCGATGGCTTTTGATTTGTTGTGAAATGGGGTTGAAAAACTTTTCAGATGGTATCTAAAAAGGTGTATGCAAGTTCAATTGAGTTAATGTTCATGTCATTAGACTTGGAGTCATTGATCACCGGCTTTGTATAACCACAATGTTACCATCATCTGGCTACTTAATAAGCAATACAGGAAGAAGAAATCAGAATCAAACATGGCAGATCTAATTCAAGGGAAACTATGAGACGGACGCAGCACGATAATGCTACGAGGGCCACACACTTTGCATTGCTAGCACAGTATTTGAATGAAAAGAACACAGAACAGTCTAATTACTGATCTCAGAACACTGGAAAAAAAGACGCCGATTAACTTGAGAGAGTACTTACAGACATAGCGGAAATCGTCTCTGGTTCCCAGACTTCCACAGGAGAAGTACACACCGTGATTTAAGAGAATCAAGTTTAGATGTTCTGGACTAGATTCAACTTTGGCTACATCAGACAATGAATTCTTCGATTATTCCAATGTTTCTAGGAGCCAAACCATTTCACAAACCCCACTAATGATGTCCTTGTCGCCGAATCACATATTCCTTGTGACAACTTGTTAACCATGGAGCATTTCCATTTACATGCCCTCTTGTTCTTGTACAACCAGTAAAGACAGTAACAAAGCAAAACGGAAAAGAAATACTACTAAAGACAGCAAATGAAGGTTTTGTCCGTCTAGTTCTGTCGAATTCTTAATAGATAGCCCAAGTCTTAATCAAAGAAGACGAAATAGTAAAGAATAAAACTTCGTAACTTAGTGGATGGTAACTTCTATTTATAGTCTGAATGCCGTTTTCCATTTGCTCCATATTCTCTTTTCTATAATTCATTTATCTTCCATGGCGTGGTAAACGGCACCGGTTGGTCTAACAATCTTCAAATCAATTTGCACAGTCCCAATGTTATGCAAATCATTTGGTTGATTTGTTTATGGAGGCATTCCCAGGGGACTCCATTAACAAAATAGTGCGGCACTAGCAGTGTGTCCCCACTTTGTCTGCTTCGCATTTGTTTTCGTCAAGTCCAGGAGACTTTTCGCGAGTGATCTTTAAGCGACTGATGTTATCTAAACTCCAAGACAATGCAAGGAGCTATAACGATGCTTTTCATGAATCCGATACTTCAGGTACAATCCATACATAAATATTCAGATCCCTTGAGCATGGTTAGAAGATACATATATTGCTTTGCTGTTATTCCATTTGGCACAGCCAAATACCACATGCATTTCAAGAGCAAAGCAAGTTCTGTGACCCAAAATACGTCCGCGAATGATGCTAAAGCCGGAACATAGTGATATCTGTTTCGATTTGTTCATCGGATGACTTGCATGATATTCAGTGCTTTGATCACTGTCGTTCGGTTCTCGTGACTACTAATTATCAGTACCTTTCGCTTCAAATTGAAGTCTCAGAGCTTCCTTGTGATTTGTTTTCTTTAACTATCGTCAGATATCCTGTGCTAAAGAGGAAGTTCACATGAAGTTCAAGGAAAGTGTTAATCCACCATGAGTCTTGTGACCTTGTAGAGTGCTCTTACTTATAATGGCCTTTCACATGAATCTGATCATAGTGGAAGTCAAGACAGACAGATAATCTACCTAGATACAAGTGCACTTTCTTCATCCAGATTGATGAAATTTCTTCTTAAGCCGACTCTCGAGCCCAAGAACAACTGCAGTTGGGAGCGAGTTTAATAATGCGCTATACATATCGAAATAAATTATATATGGAAAGAGAAATAACTTTACACTGAATGGCATTATCATTTTTCTTCAATTTGTATAACACAACGAGCGTTGTGGTGCAAAAGAGAATTGACTTTACTTTCTGCAGAAAAAACGCATTCCTGAAAGCTGTATATCATAAGAACTCTCATGACCCTGTACACTATACATCCCGGACCGGACCAAAATATAGAATGTGGATTGAGTGCGACTATAACATTCTCCAACTCCTTTGTTTTCCAGCAAGATTACGAAATACCGATTGTCTTATTCAGCAACCATAGGAAAAGAGCGAATTCAATCCCAAATATGGTGTGAAGGTAACTCCTGTCGAGCATAAAGCCGTAAACTGTAATTCCGGCTTTGTTGTTCTCTAGGTATGTCACTGCAAGATATGTCACTCAACTTCATTATGGCTGTTCTTATCTATGATGAATTAGACTAAAGACTAAAGAAAAAAAAAAACTCTTCCACAGTTTTCCTTCTCACCTAAAGCTTGCCTTTTGTGGAATGAGATGGTGTGCGCGTAAATCGGCATTATTTTGGCATTGTTGAGATCATCGTCACCGTCTCCTTCTTCTTCTTCGGACTCCCACTCTGCATCCACGGGGAAAACATGGGTGGAAGCGACCTGAGCTGTGGGCGTCTCACCATCGTTCTCGTCAAACGAGTTAATCGTCGCACAGATGTGCCACTTTGCCGCAAGTCCGGTGATGGACTGTGCTTTGTGCGTGACCTTCGTCGCGCTGCGCAGGCATATGAAGAGGCCCGTGAGCAGGCTCATCGAACATAGCTGTGACGCAGAGAATAACAATGTTATGCTGTCAACAGACTAGTAATTAATCCCAAATCGGGTTTTGGCGAGAGAGAGAGAGATTACTGAAAGCTCCCCGGCTTTGAAGATATTCGCGTGAGCGCCGGAACGGGTGATCATGAGCACGGAAATGAACTGGCTCGCCGTGATCAATATGAGGGACAAGAGAAGGAATGCTCGGAAGCGGTGGCTTATGATCCTGAGAGTCCTCCTGAACCGGATATGCTCCTTCAAAATTGACACCACCTCGGTTTCCTTCTGCAAGACTTGCCCAAAGTCCTCCAGTCTGAGGATTTGCAGGTAGCAAACCAGCCGGTAGAGGACGCACACGAGGATGAAAATCGAGGTCCGGTAGAGCCACGAGAGCAGCTCCAACGTGCAAGCGATCGTGTCGCTCACGTAGAGATTGCCATAATAAGGAATGTCGGTGGATCCGGAGATGTACCACCAGAGCTTGTAGGCCGCCTCGACAGCAAAACACGGGACAACAAACCATGACCATAGCTTGACTGATCTCTGCAAACATTAAGAATGCTCAACTAAATCCAAATTGCGCCTTCTATTAGCATCACTGAATCTTGTTCGGTCATTAATCCAGAGTTTCCATTAGCTTATTGCAAATTCCCAGATCAGCAATGTAAATGCAACAGACCACTTAAAAATTCTTTTGACTTTGATGATGATCTATGTTACCTGTATCAACAGACAATTCCTACACTCACCCCAAATTAATAAAAGAATCTCACGAAAAGATCAACGCCTGTTGCCAGTCAATTAAAACTGCAGGATCATCAAGAACAGAACGACAACCAAAGTCGAATCTGAACATACCTGAAGGTGCTGCGAGTATCCGCGACGAACATTCTCACTCGAGTCGCACAATTTATCTAAGAACAAGAACTTCCTGATCCCGTACTTACGAGACCACCGCGATAGGCAGACGAAAGATATCGCCGCAAACACGGAGAGCGATATCTGCACCGGCACGTGATAAGGCCGCTGGTGGTTCGCATCGCAGCTCGAGCACTGGAGCAAGAAATGCGAGGCCAACGGGACAGCGACGGTGAAGAGGAAGAAGACCGACCACGACAGCCCGGCCCACCACAGATTGGACTGATCGACGCACACCCACTTGAAGCAGGAAGTGAAACCGTTCAGCTCGACGGGCTCGGACGACGACCGGTACAGATAGCTCGAGATCGGCTTGCTTCTCGGCACGAACGCTTGTCGTCTTTCATCTTCCATGGTGGGGAAGGCTTCATGAGACTGGCGGAATGATCGGTTCTCGGTTCAGGGTCGATCCTGGATCTTTGTAATGACGAGACGATGATGAACTGAAGCATTTAGAGTTTGGATCAGAGGGTGGCGGTGGGTTTTCCATGTGAAACAGATAAAAGCTAGCTGAAAGGCGATCCCCTGGCAAACCTGTGACTGCCACTTGTTGTTGGGTCATACGTAAAGCAACGTCTCATCTGTCTCTCTCTCTCTGTGTTCCGAGAAGTCTCCATTTGTTTATTGGTTCTGCTTTCATCTTCAAACGCTACGTGGTTAACAGACGGTGATTTCTGGAGTCACTGTCGAAACGGAGCTGAGCCAACATCAAGATAGCTGTTGCCATTGCAGCCTTCGATCTTGATTCGAATGAGACATCTCCAGCGGTCTTAAAGACATGATTCGGATACAGGACCCATCGCATCCGAAATGAGACCATAATCACTCGACCAACGCACGAATCTCGATATTTTTGCTCAGGAATTCCGTGGAAAAAGCCCATCTCCATAGTTAGCTAGAATAATGGCATAAACGGTCCCTAAACTTTGACTCAATGTGCAATTTAATTTACAGAATATTGATTTGTTCAACGTAATCCTTGAACTTTAGCCTAATATTCAATGTGGTCCATGAACTTTTGGTATATATTCAATGTAATCCCCGAACTATATGAAAATGTTCAGTATAGTCCCTAAACTTGAATTAATGGAAAGACTACATTAAATATTTCCATGTAGTTCATGGACTAAATTAAATAGGTACAAAAAATTCAGGGATGACATTAAACAAATTAAAAGTTCAGGTATCAAATTGCACGTTGGATCAAAATTCAAGGACTACATTGAACAAATTATAAGTCCACGGATCACATTGCGTATTTTGCCAGAGTTTAAAAATTATTTGTGCCGTTTTTCCTTATCAGCATGAACCATAAAAGACGGGAGTTTAGAGCAGTACTAAGGGTAAATGAGATCGTGAGGAGAGAAACTTGCGAAATGACACCACCCGCCTGAGTGGCGCTGCTGGAAAGGGCATTCTTCCTCTCGCAAAAGGTTGAGTGTTCGAATCCCGTGCGCCGCCGCAGGTGACTTAACGGCGCACGTGTGTGGTGGCTAGCACGTGTCACCCTCGTGGTTTACCTCTCCCTGATCTGTCCGGCCGTATGTGGGATTCCCCTGATTACAAAAAAAAAAAAAACTTGCGAAATGACTTGCATCAGATGGTGACCCCTTGAATTAAGCAAGAAGGAACGAACATGGGTAGGCCCCCCTTGATTCACGCGGGTCCGAGCATGTGTGTGGTTGTTACTATAGACAGACGAGCCTAATTTGATGTTTTCATAAATTATGGCGAAGAAGTTAAAAAAAAGTCAAACTGAGCAATGAAGGCAAGTCACTCACTTCACTCACTCACTCAACTGCTTCGCTGGTGGTCAACTCACGGCACGACACTTGTCGAATGATGATGGAGTAGAGGAGAAACGGCCGACCGATTGAGGTTTTGTGTCCACAGATCCCGCCGCAACTGGCATTGGGACGGCGAGTTTTATATTTTGGTGGGTTTTGTCTTGCTTGATATGATGTAGCGTAGTCATGTTGTATTAAGATACCTTTCGGCAACTATTCTGTATTCGAAACTTGATTCTGCGTAAAAATAATTCTTTTTTATTTTGAGCTCAAAAATAATTTTTAAATATTTAAAGGTATTTGATAACCGTTCAAAATTTCTATTCTTAAAATAGAAAAAGAACAGAAATGCGTTTAGTAACTGCTCAAAATTTCTTTTTATTAATAATATTTTCAATTTTTTAATATTTCAATTTTTTATTTTTCTTTGTTTTTCTTCTTCTTCCCCTTCTTGGCCCATGGCCATGTCGCCGATGAGGGCTGGACCCTCGCCGCCGTGACCCATCTCCCTCGCTTGGGTCGCGACAGCGAGGTCGGCCTCGTCATGGATGGGCGAGGCCTCGCCGTCGCGACTGCAAGCCGCCCTTGCCGGCCACCGGAGAGGGCCGCGACGCCCTCGTCGGCCCTGGCCTGTGGCTGGCGGCCAGGAAAAAAAAGAAGAACAAACCAAGAAGGAAGAAGAAAACCAAGAAGAATCAGAAATGGAAATATTGTTTTCGGAATCAAGAAGCTACTTTTTTTTGCTTCTTGATTTTGTTCCAAAACTGATTCTGCGAACAAATTTTTGCAAATTTGTGCCTGGGAACAAAAAATTTACCAAACGGATTTCCGTTCTAAAACTGATTCTGGGAACAAAAGAATATAAATTATCACCGTTTGGCAACTTGCCAAACGGACCCTTTGCTTGGTTCTTCTCAATCTTGTCCTTCTTAAGCTACATGTAAGCTTTTTGAGTTTGAGTCGTAGGCCATATCCATCAATTAGAGGTTGAGATATACGTGTGAGTTGTACTAAAAAAAGAATCGCTTTGGAGAATTGATATAAGGTGGAGTAGTTAATGTATTTTAGTCGGTCATAACTTATTGGTTTAAGTTGTTGAGTGAATGTGGGTTCAATGAGATATGTTGACGTGTTTTAAATTTGAGCTTTCTTTTGGTCATCTCCCTAGATGAAGGTATTGGGCTTTTACTGCGTACTCCCAACAAATGGTATTAGAGCGGATGATCGATTGGTGATCCACTCCTAATATACATATTATTGAGTCAATTCCTTTCTATCACTAATGTCTGCTCTACTTGAATCTCTTCACAAGCTCCAAATTTTCGTAATGTGGGACGGATGATTATTGGACAACAAAGCATCCGCTCATCGCTGAAAACCTTCAAGAAGTCCTTAAAGACTTCAGTAACCCTCCAATCTTGTCGTGTCACCTATGGGAGACCAGCACTTCCTCTATAAGTGGTGGCGTACAACGTTGGCAGACCCAACTCCTCGCATGCCCTCTTCAACAACTTGTACATGAAAATTCCACCTCGTTCTTATGTCCAGAGGGAATTTCTCGACTTTCCTTCCTTGTATCATGTAATGGAAAAAGATTTCATTGCGAATTAAATTAGCCGTTGGACCAAGCTTCGAACGAGGATGGTGTTAACGCTGGCATATTATTTAAAGTGATGATGAAGATTTTATCGGAAATGCGAAATCATCGACGGCTCTTATTATTTCAGAAGTCATATTTCAAGAATCGTGCAGTAATATTAGCTTCCTATACGTAAGAGTTCAATCTGTGTAATTCGAGTTGATCGACTTGAAGTACTGGGAGAAGGTCAACAACGCCGGTTTTGTATGCGACATTGTTGTTGCAGGAACTTAGCTTGATGTCGAGTTGAGGTCGAGACGGTCGAAAACGGTTGGTGCCGTTTTCGCCATTGCAATACTCATGGCGTGACTAAATCGTTGCGAGGAGAAGAGAAGAAATGAAATTGACAAACCATTTCAGAAAGCACGGGGGCCAATGGGCCTGACCCGACCAATGCCCTAGCGGGTTAGGGACCGGGCACGGGCACGGGCCCGAAACCTGCCGGTCCTACCGACCGCCGCCCCACCTCTGCCGGGCCGGCCCATGCCCGTGCCCCGGCTCGACGGTTAAGCCTGTCCCACGGTGGTTGCTAACAACTTCGTTTAGGACTTCTTCCATTGCATCTAAAATTTGCCGACTTTTCCTCTCGAAATATCGGACGGTGGGCACGACACGACACGGAGGGAATCTGCGCCTCCTGTTTCGGAGCCTAAAACCAACGACAAACTCCCCGTTTCGCTTTTGCCTTCTCCTGCTCCGTTCTGGTCAATCGCCGGCTCACCGGAGCTGCGCAGGGCGAGAGAACGAGCGAGCGAGAGATGGCATCGGCTCTCCTCTCCTCGTCGGCGTTCGCGGCGGCGTCGGCGCCGTCGCTGAAGGCGCGGGCCCGCGGGAATTCGCCGCCGCTTGGCGCGCGAGGCCCTTTGAATTTCGGTCCTCTCTCCTCGCGCGCGCTGGTTCCGAGGTAATCCCGCTTTCATTTCCGTTCGATCATCGTCAGCTTCATGTGGGTCTTTGTCTTGTCCTTCTGTTGCAATTGTTTTGCTCCTTCTGGATGTTCCTTGTTCGTAACGAGAAGGAAATGGAAGCGATCCCTGTGGGTTTTCGTCGTTTTCTTTCTTTCTTTTAAAATTTCTGCGTGCTGGAGGCTCCTTTGAAGCTTAATCACCTCAAAGATCGATCTGGGTCTGCATCATTCCTTGTTCGGAATGTGAACAGGGTCATGTTCAATTGGGAAAAAGGAGTTTAAGATCAAGAATATGTCATGTTTAAACGAAACCATTTAATCACAAGCCTAGTCCTTTGACCAAGGTCTCTTCTTGAGGACACGGCGGGGTCTTTCCTATGTTGTGGAGGCAGGGTTTCCTCGATCGAAATTATCTTCGAAATGGGAACGATGAGAACTGTGCATTTATTTCGTTATTTCGATTAATATGTAGTGAGGTATAGTAATACTTCCAGGCATTGTTTTCTGGAAATTGTTAAACCACGTTTGTCAATTTGCATGGTGGATGGCTAAGCCAAGCATGCTAAACAAGAAAATCTTGTGGCAAGGAAAAGAATGCACTAACACATGACAGTGTTTCATTGCCAAATGCTCAAAGCATACAGACATATATCATCATTATCGTTATCATGGAAGCCAAATCAATTATGTATAAAGTGGCCAAGCATTTGGTTGGTACATGACGAGGTTGCTGCACCGAATGCCCGGTGGAGCTTATGGCAAAAAATCAATCATCATGGCATACCAAATGCACCTATGACTATCACTCGTATTTACAGTTTTTAGGGTTAGTTCAAGATAGATGATTTATTCTTTTTCTTCATCTCAGTGATTTCTTATATATGTTTCTCATGATTCCCTAGAAAATGCTGCACTGTAAGAGCGGCGCTTTTGCAAGACAATGAGGAGAAAGTAGTCGTTGAGGAGTCATTTGAATCAAAGACCATCTTTGATAAAGAGGGGAATATAAGCAGTGATGGAGCATCTGAGGGTTCTTCCACCAGTGACCTAGAAAGATGGATTATCAAGCTCGAGCAATCCGTCAATATCTTTCTTACAGTAAGGCCTCCCATCCTTCTCTGATAGATGAATGAGCAAATTGATATGACGCACTATTGATCAGAAATAGTTAGCTTTGGTGGTAAATAAAAAGGTTTCCATTCTTAGAAGGAGAAGACACAAATGGAGTTATCAGTCTTGTATTTATTCTAACTGGCATCATGCCTTACTTAGTAAGACATAAATGGATTTTT